CTAAGCTTCAAACCGACTCGCCGGAGACTGGCACGGATGCTTCATTTCCCCCAAAAAAGACGCACCCCTATAGCCCGAAGTCTGTTCTGGGAATCCAAAGGAGCCTTGACTGCTTCGAACCCGGACCCACCGAACCCACCCAGCCCATGCCGAAATCGACTGCCTCCAGGCGCCAGCTTCGCTCCAGGCGCAGCAGGCGCAGGAGGGCACGCCACAGCACCCAAGCCACCGCGCAGAGGTGCCTCGACGCACATCGCTGGTTTCCGGGAAACCGCCGGGAAAGCCCTCCATTCTGGGCCTTGCACCAAAATTGAGGTCCTCTTCCCGAAAAGGAGAGGTCTCAGGTGAGGAGTCCTAAAACTGCTCCGGGTCTCGCAGGTTGCACGCTGGACTAAGCCGGCTTTGTCATGATGGGAGCCGGATTTTCCTGCAGGCTTCTTGCAGAGCTTTGTCCTTGTCTTTAAAGGATGACCACTCCCACTTTTGGCCATGCCAAGGAATGGTATATCTTTCTCATGCACTTGGTTGGCCCTTCAAGCTTGTCAGAGCTTGCCACGGTGGCATTCTGGAGTGTGCTTGGAGCCAATCCAGTCTCCTGAAAAACCCAACTACCGTGAAACCAACCCTGATCAGGTCAGGTGCTGGTGTTCTATGCAAGGTCACACCGAAAAGCCAGCAACCAAACACGACATGCGCCGCAGTCGGCGCTTTGGGTTGTGTGCACGCCAACTCGAAACCCCAAGATCTTGTGCCTGAGACGCTTTTGGGTTGCACTTTGCCCCCGACAACTCGACCGAGGCGCAGCACCCTCTGCAGCGCGCGGAGTCTCAGCTGTTGAAGGATCACCACCCGGCGCCGCCATTGCCGGCAAACCCTTCTGGCCAGCGCCGCCTCGTGCGCGGCCCGGTGCTGCTGCACTCGCCGCGTCCGAGCGACTTTGGTCGTCCAAGCTGTCCACACGTGGCGAGCACGCAAGAGGAGAAGACGTCCTCAGGCCGCCCGTTCAAACCCAAAGGTCTGAGACGCTTTGAGATATGTCCTTCGGGTTGTCTTCAAGTGAAATGCAATGGACACCAGCCATTGCGGGGATGTCTTGTCAACAGTTGAAGGTACGCCCATACTCAAGAATCGCAAGACTGGTTAGGCACCAATCCATCTGGGGGATGGGGGCTTCAGGCTTGGTTCAGTTCGCATCGATTTTCCAGGTCCCAAATTCAGTTTTTGGTTTGGCCGCTGCAAAGGCATGGAAGGCCTATGGACAAAGTGTGGAAAACGGTTGCCGGCTACGTAGGGGATCCACATTGATCTGTGGAAATTGATTGGCAACATAAAAGGGTTTGGTTTGCGGCCGAAAACCAAAACAGTCATGATGGATGAGAATGTCCGTTCCCTTACCAGTGATCGCTAAAAAGGCCTGAAATGGACTGGGACGGAATGGTGTTTGCTTGAGGTTGTGCTGGAGGGCACGAAGGGTAGGCCCTCAGAAGGCACCTGGATACCAGCCCACCCAATTGAAGACTAGGAATGTGTCAAAATGAGGTACGACTGACACATCGCAAAAAAGTTGCAGCCGGGAGATTTCTTTGGATTATCCGACCTCCCGGAAGTGTCCTTTTGCTTTCCTCTTGCTTTTGTGTCGCCTTCCTTTTAGCAGTTTTTTCCCATGGCCACTCATTGGCTGCCGTGCGGAAAATGAAAAGTTGCCCGTCCTCGTGCTCATAAGGTTTGTCGTCCAGAACAGGGAACCCCCACATTGCGCGGTTTCCCATTGGATTCCTCGCCAACCAGGAATGCAAACAGCAGCACACGTCAAGCAGAGGAATCTGCCGAAATCCTCTTTCTGTGTTCCTATTCATGGGCCATTTCGCACCAAGTGGGTTTATTCTCCTCCTTGGGGTGGGGTCCCGCCCCCAAATTCGCCTCGTCGGACCTGGTGCTCCGAGCGCAAGGCCCGGGCCGCCTTGCCCCACGCGGCCAAGGAGGCGGCGAGGCCGCGCCAGCGGAAACTGGAAGCGAGTGCGGAGGCCTCCGTCTCCTGATTTGCTTGGAATTTTGTGGATATGGTCGGTCGGCTTTTTTTTGAAGCCACCCGTTTGGGATGGGTTTAAAGAGAATGCTGGTCTCGAAAATGACATGCTCATGATGCTTTCTTGGTACTTTGTTGGTGTGTTACCGTTTTGGAAGGGAATCAACTTGCTGGTTCTTAAATGGAATTACCCCGAACTGAATCCAGGTGGTTTGCTCAATGGGTGTGAATTCGTGCCCGGACCCGTTGGAGGACATGGTGGGCATTGGTTCCATATGCAATTTCAGAGATTCCGTGTTTGCCCATACTCCAAATCTTTTAAAAGGGACCCCTATCCCAATCAAAAGTCAACCTATATGCAATTGTCCCTCGCCTGTTGTAAAGCTGGGAACGCCCTTGTAATAGGTCACCATGGGTGCATATCATGGTTCCAGGTTGCCTCAAAGTAGGTTGATTGGGATAACCTGTCCGAGATGTGACCTGCAGGAACTGGGAGACTCACGACGCTGTTTGACTAGCAACTCCCTTCAAAATTCCCTCTTCAGGCCTTTGCCATAGGGAATTGGTTTGGGCTAACCAGCCGAGTGGATCGTGGTACCCGTCTCTGCTCTGGTTTCTGTTTGAGCTTTTCTTTGGGGGAGGGGTGCCCTTATTGGGAGGGAAACCAAAGCCCAGGTCGGCCACCAGAACTCCTTCCGTTGGAACATGGCGGCACGGTGCCAGCGGCAAAACACCTCGCTCGCAGCACCTGGGCTTTCATCCAAGACCAGGAAAAGGGCCCCACAGACCACTGACCAACAGGGCTCTTGCTGTCTAAGCCTCGGTCAGAAGTAATTGAAGCCAGATAGGGCCATGGCCCAAATACGGACTTGACAGTTGGGGGATGGATGCTGGGGAGGGTTGTGGGCACTAGTCAAAGTTGAACTTTTTGATGGAGAGTTACAAATCGCCCATGTTAGACGAAAGGCTAAAGGGAGGCGAGGAAATTGCGAAATGCTCAAAGAAAGAACAAACGGTTTGCATAGGGCCATGTGGGTAGTGAAAATATGAGACTCTTTTTGGCAGCCTTTTTGCGCGTGTGAGTGTGTGTGTGTATGCAAAAAAAAAACAAAAACAGTCAGACTTCTCCAAATGGCAACCGTTTCATGTTGGCCGCTGTTGAAACAGCCCAAAAAGGCCCCGTAAATTGTATTGACCAGACTTCCATTGAAAGGGTAAAGTAGACTTGAATGACTTGAACCCGGTTGTATTTTCCCAAGGGCAAACCAAGGGGTGCCGTCTGGTCCACCAACATGGAACCAGCAAATGATCCCAGGGAAAATCGTCTTCCAGTTCCATGTTTGTGGATGGGAGGCCAGTGACAGGCCCTTAAGAAAAAGAAAAGAAAAAGAAACACCTGAACGAAATCAGCACATCGACAAGGCCAGAGTGTAGCCGGGCTCTAACCCCTAACCTAACCTCCGCCCCCGGGTAACCCCCTGAAGCTGGTCAAGCCAAGGTGCAGTCGTGCAGCCACAGGATCACCAGGCGCCGCGCTTCCAGTTGCACGCCCGCCTGCAGATTACCGCCTTGTTGGGTGACCTCAAGCTACCCGAAAGATGCGGAAAAATCACATTCTTGCAGCATGAACATCACCCCACCAAAATTGGAAGGCCCTTGAAAAATTGGCCCGAAGGGCCACGTCAACCATGCCGTGTTGGTGGATATACAGGGAGCCCCTCAGGCCTGATGTTTACAGCCGAAAACGCGGCGCGCACGCGTTTTTTCCCGGACAAAGCGCGGATGCATCGAGTCCCGCCTGGGCCAGGCGCGTGTTGCGAAGGCCCCGAAAGGCCAGGGCCCAGCGGCCCAAGAAGCGCCGTGCCGAGGCCCGGCGCTTGGCGCCCGCGGCCGCCTCTCCGCTCCTAACGGATCTGGCGCTTTGCGTGTCGCGGCGCGTGGTGGGCTTCCTTTTCGAGGGGGACGAAATTTCAGGGGGACCAGGTCATTCATTGCTCTAAAGTCCTACTTGCAGGCATTTGCGCAGACCGTTCCTCAGACAGCCTCTGTAAAATCCCAGTAGGATCCAGTCATGGATTTTGGGGGGGTGTCAATTCTGGGCAAGTAGGACCCTACACCTCTTGGATGTGCTTTGAATTTGTCTCAAACAAATGAGAAATCTCCCTCCAGGCAGGTTCCTGTTGGTTTCCGTTTGAATCCATCCAATCCCCACAGAACCGAGTAACGTTGCTCGAATAGCACTGCAAACCGAACACTTATGGGGGTCGCCCTAGGATCAACAGGGTGTTCACGACCATGGGATCAACCCGCCAAAGAATCAAAGAGCTGTGGGAAATGACCACTTCTGCGATACAACAAAATGGGCTTCCCAAAGACTGATCCACCATAAAAAGGGAAGATTCCCTTGTATCACAGAAGTGGGAAGAAACCCTTGATCCCACAACCCTGCGTTGCAAGGAGCCTGAATAAGCAGAAGTCGCCTTCGCAAAGCCCCCAGTCAGGCCTTCACAGCCAAGATGACGAGGAGGATGAGCAGCGCGTCGTCTTGTTTCTATCCCAAGGTGGACGTAAACCCAGGGTTTGAGTCTAGGTACTGCAAAATAATGAACTTAGGGTAGTTCCAAGAAAGGCACGTTGTCTCGGAAGAATTTACCGCCCTAAACTATGGAGGAGGTGCTGGGCAGGGGGAGCTGGGGTAATGCGGAAATGAACCACAGCTCCTTCTCTGTCTATACCGCCAACGAGAAAACGAATTTCCGTTGGCTGTTATCAAAGCATAAATGGGTTTGCACAAAAAAAGAAGAAGAGTAAAACATGAAACAAGTGCGGCTTCAAGCTACCTGTTGACTTCCCGTTGGTTTCCCGTTGGTTTCCTGAACAGAAATCTCCTCCCGGGGCGTCTCCTCGCCCTGGCGCCGCTCTGCCGCATCGCCGCCAGCGCCCGCGCCGCCCGGCGCCGCGCCAGGCGCAGGTCCAAGCGCCGCGCGGCGAGGCGCCACAGGCGCCAGCCCCGCAGGCGCCGCAAGGCGCCACGCAGCAGGCGGTGCCTGGGGGCTTGGGCCGTCGGCCGTCTGTTCCTTTCTTTTCTTTTTCCCTCTCCTCTCTTCTCCTCTTTTCCTTTTTTTGAACAAATGGCCTCTAGGAGCTGTGCCAAGCGCCTAAGGGCCTTGGGCTCGTTCCCAGGGTTGGATGCCCGAAAATCGGGGGGTTTTCCGCTTCATTGGCAGCTTGTCACCACGGCTTCGAAAATGCTGCCTCATGAAAATGCTGCCGGGAGATGTTCGGCCTGCTTGTCCTCAACATCCCACGCGCACAAAAACTGGCGCCAAAGCTTTTAAGTTGGAGCCCCAACAAACAAATACCATACGCACCGACCCACCCCATCTCCGAAAACCTCCCCCCCCCCCGCCCCCTTCAGGTCACCTCAAGGCAGCGGCGACGCCGTCCTCCTCCTCCCGCCGCCGCTGGCTGCGCAGCGCCCGCTGTTGCCAGAGGCCCAGCCCGCGGCGCGTCCGCAGCTCGGCCACGCTCCGGCGGTGCGCCGCGGCGCGTTGGCGGTCCGAGGCTTTGGCACCGCACCAAGCCGTTAGGGCACAAAGCGCCCAGCGCACCAGGCCTACCACTGCACAAAAAGATTGCCCGGTTCAAAACTGACCAATGGACCTACCCGCAGAAATCAAGAAACCAAACGAGTCCAAAATCTAGGGCAGCCTTTTGGGACCCCCTTCTTCAGGCGAACCAAGACACCCAAACAAGTTCCATTGAGACACTTTTGAACAGACACTTCCTTCACACATTCGATGCTCGGCCGTGCTCCACTGCAACGCTGCCTTCGCGCCGCTTCTTGTTGATCATTCGAGAGTTCCGCACCCAGCGCGTGAGGATAGCCAGGCAGGTCAGCGCCTTCTGCAGCAAGGTTCGGCCCTCCCGGGACCGGATCCTCTGCTCCAGCGAAGAGGTCCGAATGGCCTCCACTCGAGTTGGATGATCAACCTAGACTCAAGCAGGTCATACCAAGACTTGTAAGTCATCGGGAACCAGCCCCTGTTTCATGGTATTACTAAGTAGGCTAAACATTCACGGCCAGGGCTTTCAGGGCGCACCGGCTTGCACTGCAGAAAAGGCCGTTGAGAAGCGTTCAGCCGTGAGCTGATCGTACTTGTCAAGAAACGCTGCACGAGGTCATCAGGTACATAGTAAAGGCTGTTGTCAGTGCCATGTTCACACCAGGGCCTGTCCTTTGAACCTCCCCGATGGCACAGAGTGCCTTGTATTTCCCCGCAAACATCGCCTTCCCAAACGAAAACTCACCTCAAATTGACCCTAGAGGGGATGTTCAAAGCCAGCAAAAGGAGAAGTCAAGGCCCCCTTGCCTGCCGCCACTTCTGCAACACCAGATGCACCAGTTGCGCAGCCGCTTGCATGGAGCGGATCTTGAACAAGCCTGGGTTAAACATGACCCCCTCCAAAACGTCAAAGCCATTGACATCAAGTAGAAACACTTGCCAGAAAGGGTCTTCACTCAAAAGGAAACCTGCTCAAATGACCCTCACAAAACTTTGACCCACAACCCTTTGCCAAATAGTCCATCAAACATCTCTCCCTTCAAACACCTCTCGCGGTTTCTCTCCGGAACCAGGTCCCAACACCGCGCTGTCTAAATTCATCAAATTTGGGCGTCCCTTTCAGGGCTTTCCCTGGATGTTCACCCATCTCTGCGTTCCCTCGTCTAACCAAGGCCTTCCATGGCTTCTACGGTTCATTCCTGAAACTCAATGCAAGTCAACCAACCACATTCAACCGAAACTCCTTCCCCACCTCATTTCTCTTGGGCCGAAGGGGCAGAGCTTTTGCAAACGCTCCATGCGCTCCTGCACATAGCGCTCCTTAAGCCGCGCGAGAGGACTCTCGCCGCGCACATCTCGCGCTTCCTCGCCGCCCCTGCGGGTTCCGAGAAGTGGCGTTGTCCAAGGGGGTTTGTCAGAAAGATGGCGACAGGTTCCTTTTGGTTTCCCTGTCAAAGGATACCGTTGACGGATTGCGAAATGAGGTTCAATAGCTACGCTCACAGATTAATTGGACAGCGTCCAAGATCGATGTAACACGCACAAATAATGCGTGTATGAATACTGCGTGTGTGTATATATATATATATATATTATATATATATATATATATATTATACACGAAGGGATCATGCATGTAAGTATGCGTAGTTCTGGGTATGAGCGCTCATGTCGACTTCTAAGGCATGTTCGAGCTTGCAATAGTCCTTGAGCTTTTGATTTGATTCTCTGTCAAACTTCCGTTTTGGCTTTGTGTCTTTCGTTCTAGTGTTGTGTATGTGTCTGAGGCTGGTCAACAAGTGGATTGCGTCGCTGTTGTTTCTTGTGTTCATCTGTGTTTGTGGTGTGCACTGTTGTTCATGATATACTGCACAAAACCCATCACTATCCAAAACAAACTAGCAATCTTCCAATTGTTCGGCTCAGTCAAGTGGCGCTGGGGGTCAATTCCTCCACTCAGCCCAACGTGCAATGCCTGTATGGTTGTCTTTCACCAAGGAAGAAACTAAGTTTTGATCGCCGACCGCTTGAGCCGTGTCCCGCCTAGCCGCAACCAGCTTGGCCTTGGCCATGGCCCTGTCCACATCGTCAACACCAAACACCCCCTGGTTTCACCTTCCGGCATGCTTGGGTTACTCAAAGGGGAAACCCGAAACGGGTCACTGGATTTCTCAGGAACCGTTCCTCTGAAACTGCGAGTCCAAAGGGTAATTGAGCCACCGGAAAAGGAACAAAGGAGAAACGCCTAAGACAAACGTCGGGAAACTGGGAAACAACTCAGGGAAATGTCTTCAGTTGCAGGGAAACCAAAGGCAGACATGAAAAGAAAGGGAACATCAAACAGCAGACCACCCTAAAAGTGTAGCAACTCAGAAAGAGCACCCCCCAAATCAGGCAAACGAAAGAAAAAGAAAGTTATATATATATATATATATGTATATATAACCCACCTGCCCTGGAATCATGATATTGGAGGGTGGGGGTTCTCAAAACTCCCTAACATGACAAGGGGTTCCTGCTTCCCTTCACAGTTGGGGGAAGCACAAGGCGTAGTTCCCCCAGTCTTCTCCTTTGCGTTATGCACGAAGGAGGAATGGTGACCTTGGCATAACTACCAACCCCAAAAGGAGTTCCTCGCAAAAGACACTGTTTCACAACTCCATGACCATCCATTTCAATCATGGTTCCCCGAGGCCCTAAGCTGGTTTCCAAGCAAAAGAATACCCAAGAGTTGCATTTCTGACATGTTTTCCAAAAAACATGCATTTGCGGCGTCCCCCGTTTGTTTCCTGTTGGTTTCCTCAGGTTTTAACGGGTTTTGAAACCCCATTTCCCCCGAAACCAACAACTAAAAAGCCATGACAATAGACCAATAGGTTGTTAGCCGTGTTTGCGAGTGTGAAGCTGGTTCAAAAACAACAAGTGATGAAGCCGGTGGTTCACAGCCAGGTTGCCAACAGCTCACGAAGTGGCCAGTGAATCCAAGCTGGGGAAGTTGATGAAGTTGGGAAGGTCTGTGTGTGTGTGATCAACCAATTGTTGTGCCCCTGTTCCTCTTCGGTGGCCTTCTTGTGCGTGGGACCTCCAAGTCGGCCTTGAGACGCGGCACCGCCTCGTGAAAGGGCTCTGGCCCCTCAGCCATTGAGGCACGGCTCGGGCCAAAAGCCGACGGTGACGCTCTGGCCATCCGGTCTGGCGCCAATGGCTCGACATTCCCATCACGTCAGCGGAAACCTCCGTCCGCGAACAGAAAGTGGAACCCAAGCGGCGCATGGCTCAGCCTCACGGCCAGTCCTCTTCATTCAAGTTGTCTTCGATGGACTCCACCACGCGCTTCGCCGTGCGCAGGTCATTGGGCTCTTGCTTGTCCTGCCATGTTTGACACATGCCGATCCCCTTTCTCGGCAAACTACTGCACCCAGCTCGCTCCCGACTTTTTGACGACAAAACATCCGATTCGACATCCACAGAGTGCTAGACGGATCTCTTCCCGCTGAAAACCCGGTCTGGCTCAGTCAGGACCGCGCGGCCAGTGTCACTTAGTGACCGGCCGGGCTACATGAAGCGCAGCGCACGGGCTGAAGCAACCCATAGATCCACCAGAAAATCAAACGAAGGAACCAGAAAGGGGCTCGCGGACCCGTTTTGGCACATGGTGTCGTTTCTGTCGGAGCCCATGGGTTGATTTCGTCCGGCATAGATCAAGCGGGAAAAGCGCCTTTCACGAGGTCTACAGCGCGGCCGTGCGGCGCGCGTGCTTGCATTCTGCAAGCCGGCCTGCGCCGTGTCCCAGTGATCCGTGGCCCCTGGCAAGTGCCTGTTGGGGAAACAAGTTCAAGTTCATTGTTCTACCCAAGCACATGGAAGGAACCCTGGGAGTCGGGCTGAAGCCAATCCGTTTCCGTGCGCACACGCTGGGCGGTCACGTGGCAACGGCGTTGTGCCTTGAAGCCAGTCCCTACGACTCCGGGAGGTAAGACTTGCCCGCATTCGAGAGCAAACCAACTCCAGGCATCAAACGAGTTGACCCAAAACCATGGAACGAATCCAAAAAGGGCACAAAATCGCATATACTTCTGGTTGGGCCAGAGCTACTAACCTTCAACTACCCTGAGTTTGATTGTTGCTCATGGGAGGCAAATGTAAGCAAAACTTACCGTGGAGCCTGGTCTTGAAAATTTTGCCGAGGCGCCGCCGTATCCCCAACTTGCGACGGGTCAATGACTCCAGTGGAGAAGGCCCTTCGATTTGGGGCATCAACCCTGCCAGCTGTCCCTGTTGTAGGCGTTGTAGGGGCTGGTGATGCCATGAGGCGCAGCCTCCCGCCCGTAGGGCCCTTGAAGCTGTCCGGGCTGCCCGACTGTGCCCGGGTAGGCTGGGTAGGCATTGGATTGCGGCGCGGGAACGGCAGGGGTGGAGAAAGCGATCCTGGGAGTGCAGACACTTCTGTCAGGCAGCGCAGGCGGGGACCAAATTTCCACCAAATGAAGCTGGTTCAATTCCTGTTTTCTGGTCATCTTGTCAAAAGTCCCCACCAGGCCCATGGCATCCCTACCTAAACAGGTCTTTAGGCCATGGCTCCTTCCCTGCAAGCAAGTCAAACAGAAAATTGTGAACTTGTAGACTGTCACATCCACATTTATACACCTGTTTACCAGTGCGCCAGTCGTCTTAGTGGCCTAAAAAGTTCTACCAACTTACACAGGCCCACTATGAAAGTAGAACTCCCATCCAGAATGGTCAAACGAAGTCTTGGCTTTTCACGTTAGCAGCTGGGCAACCTGACAGAACGTGTGGGCTTCCCTCAGACGGCTATCCGACCTACTAAAAAAGAGGCGAGCAAAAAATTTGTGCTCGAGAAGGCTGCATCTTCACATAAAGCTGACAAAAGGGTGTGAAAGACGACGTGTCTCTGTGTGCATATATATATAGAGAGATACATACACACATAGCGTCTGTGTCTCAGTGCTTTGTTTGTTGTGTGCCTTGTTAGGAAAGGACCTCTGGCCAGCAGCGAGCTGCAGTTTTGCAAATAAGCGGCGCAAAGGTCACTGCTTGTGCAGACAAGGCGAAGAAAAGCAGAATGATGATGCCCTGGAAGCACAGCATATTTGAGCTGGTGATGCAGCGGCCAAATACACTGCAGTGGTGATCGAAGCCTGGCATGGCGCGAGAAAGCTCTGAACTACCCTGATTGCGAGCTGGTTTCGGAGGTGTGATGCTCAAACCGCACAATGGTTATGATGTGATGGAATCCCATGTCCCTAGCCCCAAGTTTAGCGTCGGCTTTCCTGAAATGTTCACCGTTTTTGTTGTTTGTTCTTTTTTCGTTTCATGTGGGGGGGGACCTCTTTTCAGAACCAAACTGAATCCCTTCTATGGGCCCCAATCCCTTGTTTGGGACGCGCTTCGGTGCCTGTCACGCAGCGCTGGCACACGCTGCAGTGGTGCGATCCACTGGGCCGCCACACGAAACAGCGGACGCCTGGCCAAACCCCTCGGAGGATGAGTGGGGTGGGGTAGTTGTGGGTGGGTGGGTAAGTGGGGAAGTGGGGTGGGTGGGTCCATTCCCCCCACCTAGAGAGAATGAATTGCCCTTTGCCCTTTTTTGCTCGGAGCTTGTGGGCGTCAACTTGCTCTTGCATCTGCATAGGCTAATATTGCGCATCTGCATAGTGCGATATGTGATAGAGCCAAAAAAAGCGTCCGGACTTGGCAAATCAGACTTCCCTCCTGCGTCCGGGATCATAGGCGAGGACCAGCAAACCTTCTTACTTCAGTGTTTGAGGGGTTCTTGGCTCTTACCCTTTGGAAGGCAGCTTGGGCTGGTGTTCTTGATAGAATCTTGGCGGGAGTAGGGCCAAAATATCCCTGGTGATTCCACTGCCAATCGAGGTGCAATACGAGTTGCCATCCAGCCCCGTGATGTTGGGCTGGTTTTCGTCGAAGATTCTGTCGATCAGAATCTCCCGGGCTCGGTCCGGAATGGGGTAGCTCGTGCGCGGGTGACGAGAAATCTCTCCAGTGGGGCCGGCCAACAGGAAGATCAACGCAAAGACCTTGGCTGACCAGAGATCAGTCGGAGTTGTCTCTGGCTCACCCGCAAAAGCAGCAAAACGAGCGCGGAGAACTGATGTGGTTTCCAAAAGGAGAGAGGCGCGCCCTCGGTGTCCGGTTGCATCCAAAACAGGCTCCTGAATCCTGAAACTCTGTCCAACGCCTGAGCCTCTAGCTGCCAGCGCTGCTGCCGCCCACATGCTGGGCACGATGACATTCTGAATGAGCGGGGAGGCGTAGCTGTTGCCCAGCACCACGGGAATGCCGACGCCGTCAAAGGAAAACACGGCCACCACTCCAATGGCAATCCTGTCTCAACGCCCAATACCGTTTTTTGAGTTTTTAGCAGCAAGGTCATAAAAGCTGCAAAAGTACTATGCCAGCCATAACCACGCAGTAGAACCACCCTCAAAATGGTGAACAGGGATATTGGGCTCGCTTGCAAATTGCCACCAATCAAGCACCTAGGTGGAGTCTGAATCGTTTCCCGGGCGTTTGTACCCCATAGACTCTTTTGGGGGCATCTTGACGGTGGCAAGAAAGCACAGGCTTGGTCAATGTGGAATCGGGTTCAGAAAATGGTGATGGATTGCCCATGTGACAAAGATCATTTCAAAGGAGGCGCGAACCATGTGTGATGCTTCTGTCCGTTAGCCAATTTTGAGGATATTCCAACCAATCAAAAAAATCACAGCCATGTCACTGCGTCACACGGTCCATCTCTGCCGAGCTGCGCAGGTCCCACGTAAAAGTTTGCTGTCCGGCGCGGCAGTGCAGGCAACGACCCCAGCGGAAACTCCTGCGCTTTCCACCAAACAGGGACCAGCCGGCTTGCCCTTTTTTCCCCTTCAAATAGGCAGACAACTGTTCGATTCTTTAAGGAAAGAGCCACATCGAGGGAAAAAACACACCAGCAACTCTGTCCTTGGGCCCTGTCAATGCCCTATATGTCTGTTTGGTGACCATCAAATACCCCGATGTCAAGTTCCTTCCAGTCATCAACATGCAAGAAAACCACC